GGCATGAAGTCCTGAATCGACTCCACCACTGAGAAGACTTAACAAAGAAGCATCAACCATGAACGTGAATCAAGAAACGTGATGGAGAAATGAATAGTCTGTTTCATCCATTACGTGGAAGATGCTATCCTCCATTTGCTGTATGTCTCTGTTAGGTGTTTGAACAGCGCTCCAACCAGGACTCATTCCACCCACACATGCTTGGTCAATAAGCCGTGTCTGGCAATGGCATCGCGTGGAACGCGGGAAGCCTGGCTCTCTCTCGCACCACGATGGCGGTGGTGTTCCTCGTCAAATCACAGCCATGCATATTTAATTAAATGGGCAAGGCAACCCAATTCCTCATCGGGAATGGGGGATCAGTAGCATGCATGTGACTTTATCTCTTAATTAGAAAGAGTTGACGGCAACATCAGCATCATGTATCATACCTGTAGCAGAGAGAGAATATGGTATCAACAATACATTTAAACCGATGAATCAAATGCAAATGTGATGCACAAAGCTCCAGGTTTCATCTCATTAAGTTATGGAAATTCTTAAATTTCTGGGGAAATTGTGTAATTAGTCTGTGAAAATGATTTGATTATTGAGATTTAAATTTTAGTAGGTGACACTAATGTGACAGATCAGATGACAGAATTGACAGTCAATGAAAAATGATGACCAGCTTGCGATTCATGTACATATAGTTGTAGAAAGAATATTATTATACAGATTATTTAAATCTCCTAGCATCCAGAGAACACTTGCAATATCAACACATCTGGTGCAAGTGATATAATCAAGATGGAGATCGGTGTATTTCTACAATCTTTCCAACAGATGATGCATACATGTATGTCTCTATTGTAGCAGAGCCTTCTATTCCTATCTCTAACTTGATTGTCTGTAATGGCATTCAAATGATCCTGTCTGCTGATTTAATTCATCAAGATATCGGATTAGTATTCTGAGAAAGACTGAGGGCTGGCATGCTTTTAGTTGCAAGACTTGAGTGATGCTACCATCTTCCTTTGCATGCTAATTATGTCACTCTTCAAATTTCACCATTTTGTGAATGAAACATGGATGGGAGAGGGCCACCTCCATTTTGAAAGTCCATTTACATCATACTTATGGATGCGTGCCTGTCTTAGAATGCATGATATACAGAATAAGTATGCCTTTGGCAAGGCTGACCCCTTTTTTGTATAACTCAGCATTTCTCAGGATAAAATGTGAGTGATAAAATGTGAATGAGTGCTGGATGAATGTGCATAATAATTCAACACTGCATGTAAAAAAGGAAAACAAATTTATATTCAAATTTGGTTTCAGTTATGACAACTGCATTGGTGTAAGTTGTATCTGGGTTAACTAAAATTTATGTACAGCTAGATAGATATTGGAATCTATATAGTGTTTCATTTAGATCAAAGGATAGAGTAAAAAAAATTGAAAGAAAATGTAGAAAACTGAAACATAAGACATTTCCTCATGATATGATCTCAACAAAGTTACAGGTGCAATCATTGCACCACTGGCATTCATATATCTTGTAGGCCTTTCGGTGCTGTTTGACAGCAGCATATGTCTGCAGAGCTAGAGTTTGTCTGTAGCATGCTTGGAGTAGCTTCTTCCCTGCTGGGTGCAGGGTTGCCTCCCCTGGGCCACGCTTGCACCCATACTGGGCAAAGATTTCCTCAAATTGAATAAGTGCTCTCCTGCCCACTTTTTATTGAGAGGTATTCTTGGCGCAGTCAGGTCACTGAAGAAGGTAGATAGACAGAGGATGCCATCTAAACAAACAGGTAGATGCAGGAGAAAGAAGCAAAGGAAGAAATGGATATCAGAGAGAACAAGCATGATGTGTTTGAGGAAAAAGAAAGAAAGAAGAAAGATGCTTGACACTCCCAAAAAGTCATTGAAACAGTCTCTTGGAGGATAGTAACAGAAATGATGTAAAATTGAGCATTTATCACTAAGGTAAATTTAACATGAATGATTCTGTTGTAAAAGATCATAACATCACCCCCTCCCCCTTCCCACCCCCTTCTCCTTAAATTTGTCATGTAATTTCATGATTTTTTTGTTTATAGATTCAGCTAGGGGTCACAGGACAATAACCGCAAATGGCCGAAAAATTAATTTGAAATTTAGCGAGGTATGAAGATGAAGGAAGTGAAGCCGATGCTTGATAAACGGAGGAGCCTTTAGAAAATGCAAGGAACTGTGTTCAGATCACGCTCAATAGAGCTCTGTCTGGCACGCTCTGCTGCCCTTGGCTTAACAATATTATTTCGCCCTCCAGGTTTGGTGCATTACTGCCATACTAATCAAAAGGACCTTGCGCAAATTAATAAACACAAGGTCCTTACCCTTCTGGAAGAATGATAATTTAACGATGATCACTTTGTGAAATATTGAGCATGATTTTATGGGCCACTGAACGGATTGTCTCACATGGGATGGGATTTTAATTAGTGATGAAAGGGAAGTGATTTGTGGAGAATGGGATGTGTTGTAAATGGATAACTGAAGCGGCAGAGGGTTGTTATTATACGGTTAATGTTAGGTGAGGAGGTTCATTCATATCATACGTGTAGCCCTTGCTTATATGAAGGCATGAGATGTTGAATGACCCTGCGGCATGAATGTTACAAAGTGGACTTGGGTATATTTCAATATTTCTATTTAAATGTCAATTTCTACACCGTCTGTCCAATTTTTCGTTCCTTTTCATTCAAATTTTAGGCTTAGGGCTAGGCGATATTATTTTCTTATGAAGTCTCAATATAACAATTATAATTCATTGTGGCTTCTTTAGGGCTTATGAAATTTGGCTATATACATGTGTATGTAGTGTCCTGTGCACCAAATATGATAATGTAATTTTACTCTTTGTACACTTATCACTATAATCAACTTGGTAGTAAATGATTTTTTTTGTTGTGCTTACTCCCAAGAGTCCCAACACTGCATGCATGATCATTTCCTTGGTCATGTCTGTTGTGTATTGTTGTTTTGTTAGAAGAAGCATAGAGAGTCCTTCAGATGTGTACCCCATTGGATGTGGCACTGATATAATCAATAACCATGTGAAAACATTCTTCCAGTGATGCCATTGTTCATCAATCAATCCATGTACCTGCACTTCTTCAAAGAGGACAATAAGGCCATGCATTGTCCGTCTTTCAAGGACCAGTTTTTGTCTAAATTATTCACAAACTTAACACCTCTGGCAGGGGATGAATGGGTACAGTTCTACAATATGGATTAGCCATTGAGGAAGTAAAGTGGTGGAACAAAGCAACATTAAACCTTGCTTTTGTAGGTTTGGGCTAGTCATTGACATGACTAAGCCTCTGTTTTAACAACAAGGGTGAATACAACCTGCACAATCCGCTTACTGCGCACATATCCTATTGTGGGTCTGTGCAATGCTTGGAGAGAGAGCTTGGGACCCAGTATGGAGAGGGGAGGAGGTCATATTGATTTGTTGGCTTGGTCTATTGTTTGCCCATTCCTCTCCCATTTATGGTCCTTTGAATGGGACCAAGTCTTTGACATCACAAAAGGATTACCAGAGTAGAAATGTCCCATTCCAAAGCATAGTATCTGTTACTCTGGTGATTCTACGTCATTCCCATTCCATTTCCCCCATATCTGTTAATCATTAAGGGATGACAAATGGCCACTTCACCATATAGACGTACTGATTGATCTATGTGGGAATACAGAAAATGCGCAATTAATTTTATAGGAATAGCAATAATGGCTCATGCAATTAATTTGATTCAGTCATTTATCATTAGTGAATTTGAAAGTTGCTCTTTGGGGACACCCATGTACATTGTAAGCTTAAATTGATGTCATTATATTTTCAGGAAACTGATCAGTTACACGTACAATGTAGTTGAGAGGAAATGAAAGACCTCATTAAAAGGTCTGCGATGTATGGTTTGCACTTTTTTTTAAAAGTTTGAATGATACTTGAATAATCGGATTTGTATTTATAGTTCCATTGATCGTACAGGAAAGGGATCTGCTTTTCAATCCCTAAGTTAAAATATGGACCTCAAAATAATAAACTTGAATTAGTTGATGTCATTCAAGGTTTCCATTAAAGGTAATACAAAGTTTTGGGAAATTTTGAAAATTGGGTGGATAGTGATTCTTTACAATTTTGATATATTTGGATCCCCCTGTGGATGTATTATAAGCATTGGAAAATTTAGCCCCTAAAACACTTCTGCTTTTGAGAAAAATTTACTCTTTACTTTTGATAAATCAAGTACACACAATGTGCATTGTAGGTGCCCACCTAGTATCTGCCTGAAACTGAGGATGTGCCAATGATAAAAAGTGAACTTGTTCCTGCCTATCCCGGTGAAGTATTTTGAGCCAAATCCTGCTGGCGCCTAAAGAGGGTCAAGATAAACTATCCTGAGTGATTGTAGAACCTTTCCAGACTTACGCCTAAATCCCCTTTACTGAAGATAGAAAAACCAGAGAAATCTTTCACACTCCTGTGAAACAAAACACATTTTAAAGGTGCAGATAGTTTTACCATCAGTGATCGGTAGCAACCTCCTAATGTCTCAAGTGAATCTATTTTAGCTCGTTCAAACATTCACAAACACCAATAAAAAAAATAATAAGTTATTCCAATAAAATGTAACCAACATACCAATTTTGATCAATTCTTTAAAGAAAAACACCAACATTTTAAAAAACATTCATGTTAACAATGGAACACATCTCAGTTAACATAATGCTTCACATAATTTTTCTTCTATTGAAATAGTGAAAGGAATTGGAGTTGAGTGATTAGAAGATAATGAATTCAGAGAGAATAGGATGTTGATGATTACATTGCCTACTTTTTTGTATTCGTAAAGGCAAGAGATATCCACACAAGATAAGCATCATTCTGATATTATGTAAAGTAGTTAGAAGTCAAGCTCACAATTTGTTCTTGTGACAGTCATGTTTCTTATTTTCTCTCTCTTTTTTAGATGACAACAAGTACATGTTGAAGATGTTAATCCCGAGCACAGCGGCAGGCTCCATCATTGGCAAAGGTGGCCAAACCATCGCCCAACTACAGAGAGATACAGGGACCAATGTCAAACTCTCAAAGGCCAATGACTTCTATCCAGGTTTGTGAAATTTATGTTGTAGAAGACTAACCTCGTCAAGTCAGTTAATCTCCTGCAAGATCTTGATTAGGAGAGTGTCTGTGTGGTCTTGTGGAAGGGAGAGAGTGCTTATCTATCTTCATCTGATGAATGCTTCTTCCTAATCATAAAGAAGATTTTGACATCATAAATAATATAGCAAAGAGCAATGTTGGTTGCATTTCGGTTTGATTTCCCAACTGACAGGACTACATAACTTTTAGTCCCAAAGGGTTTATTCAAAAAAGGAAGTGTTCAGTAACATTTGTTATTCTACTTTTTCTGTTTCTTCCTTTCAAAATACCTTACACTGCACTTCCTACAGATATTTGACAAAATGATTAGATAGTGTGATCTACAAGAAGATACTTGTCAACAAAGCAAATCACACAAAGTATTAGTAAAAAGGAAGGTATTGAGAAGTGATATATATTTAAACTGAATTATTGATATTGATAAGTCCAAAGAGTTGCTGTAGCAGTCTAGCCCATGCATACTAGACTAGCTTAAAGGGAAATCCAAGCTTAATATTAAACTGCTCTAGAAGAAAGTAGAAAAATCAGAGAAGCAGACTAGTGAAAGTTTCGATGAAATAGGACAAAAAATGAGACAGTTATGAATATTTAAAAAGTTGAGGGGACCTTTAATAATATGCTATCCATGATGTATTTTGAGTATTGCCCAAAGGGAGAAGGCTCTTTAGAGAAAAACAGAAATTAATGATTTTTTTTTACAAGACAAATGACAAACGGAAGAGTTGTCCATGTCTGTGTCTGTCTCATTCCACAAACTATTCACACTTATTAAGTGATCTCATATTTCAGACATTCATCATTCTGTTTATCTTATTTTTCTACTTTCATACAAGCGAACATATTGCAAGGGTTGGATAGCCCTTTATAGTAGGTCCTACTCTGATCATCAGTGCAAGCCTGTTTGTGCTCATCCAAACAAAATGGAGATAATTCATAAAAGTGTTTATCTTTGTCAGTGCATTAGTGCTCTCACATTGCATTTGCCCGCTTCCTTTATTGCTCCTCATCCACATCCCACTGCGCACAGCCAAACCCATCACAGATGTACATCAGCACATGGCATTAACAGAGCCAAGTTTCTATCTCTCGCCCATTTATTATTTCTTCAAGAACTCCTAACCAGTGCTCTTAATGATAACCCAGGCAGGCAAGGTTATTTTAAAAAGCGCTGTTACCATAGCAACCCCACAGAAGAACTCATAAATCATGATTGTGCCAGTTTATTGCTCAGCTTTCCTGAGGACTGTCCCTGTGTGCGTCTATCGCCTGCAGGGACACTCAGTCTTCACCCTCCAGTTTACGTGCCTTCCAATAAAGAGAATGAACATCCCAAATGAAAATTCATTCTCTCTATACCAGGCATAATGTCTTGGAAGTTGGAGTGGGGTTCCTTGCTTGATTTGAAAGCACTTTGTTGTCTGTGGACTGTGTGATCATGGAATTCTTCCCATTTGTGTTAAATCCAAGATGATGTTTACATCATGTAATGCTTCTCATCTATCAAACTTTATCCCGCTTGTCCTGTATGAAATTGTTTTCTCAATTCAAGCAAGCTTCCATGTAATGTCATTCTAGGCAGGCTCATGCAAATTGGTTGCTTCAAATTTTATTTTCGGTTTATGGTCTCGACAATATCGTCTCCTACCATTAAAATGCCTCAACCCTTTTCAGAATATGAAGCCTTGATATTCTATTAGGCGGGAAGATGAGCTTGTTGAAGTCACTAGCTGTCAATTTTCCTGTCATTCATGTTTTAAGATGAAAAGAAAGGACGGCGATGTCCTTGTTTTGGATGAGTACTTTCTAGCTCACTCTGTTCATTAATAAGGGATTCATGACAGCCCCTCTCATCCCATGACTAGTCAAGTTTATCAAATCATTTTGCCTGAAAACAGAGGAGTTCACAGCAGAATCAGTCCTATAAAAGCAGGGGTGTTCAGGTAAATTAAATTCCCTATAGAAGTGAGAAGTTTATCAAGCTATTACAAAATCAATTTGATCGCTCAATAGTTACAAAAATAAAAATTGAAAGTTAAAAATATCATAAAGATAGTAGATTTACCTATTGTAAATTCAATTATCAATTTCCATGCATAATAATGCTTAACATGTGACTACAGTAGTAGATGGTTTTACATGTAATGGTGATTAAAACAAGACCCACAGGTACCTGAAAATAAGCTACCCAATACAAAATATCACACTAATGATGTGAGATAACATCCCCCCCCCCCCCGAAAGTATTCCAGTCTATAGGCACTGTTACACTCCTCATAGGTGAAGAAAGACGTAGGTAATGCAATATATCGTGTCAGAAGATGAGAGAAATCATTCTGTGATGAGTGAAGTCATTCTCTCCAGGAGGGATGTCTAGAAATAGAGCCTTCTCGGCATGCTATGAATAAAACACAACTCACTAATCTGGACTTTTTAATTTAAGATCTCACTCATCATGCTTGTCTCAGAGAGCCAGACTAATTTCTTGATAGAGTCAACCAACACCTTCTAATAAAAACATGGCTACACATACTCTACATGTACATTCTATTTTATTTGATGGGGACATTTTTAACTTTATTCAAAAGGATGTGGTAATGCTTGGTCATACTATATATCAAAACAGAATGGTTATATCTTTGGGAGTCATTGCGGAGAATGATTTGAATACAAGTTGACAAGTTGACAATGTAGTGTATTGGTTTTGTTGTACTTGACTGACTGTATGGTATCCTGTAATATTAATTTTTTTCTTGCTTGTACTGTGTAGATCTACAAGGCATGCAAAATAGAAGATGACCAATGTTAATCAGATAAATACAGAGCATAGAAAGCTTTGCATCATGGTTTCCGTAATTGCATCTCTGCCAATGTGTACAATGCCGAGTTTGCTTAGCACACACACGTTCCTGTTAGCTCAAGCCATTTCTATTATGCCTTCATGTTTGCGTGGCAGGAACGCTGTCTTATGTTAGTCATTAGACAGCCCTGCCCATGCCTGATGAGGATAGAGAAAGTTTGTTCTCTCCCTCTCTCACTCCTTGTCTCTTGTATACTATACACACACATGTTCATATTGTACTATCTAAGAATAATGGATGGTGTGCTAATTATTTGTGCATATACATGCATGCGACTATTAAAAGCAAAAGTAATCATTAGTCAGGCAGCTTTTTTGCGTTAATTCTTCACCAATAAGAAATTTAATTGCTATATTTTTTATTTGCAATCTAATTCATTTTAACCGCATGACATATACAAATATGTAATAAATGGCACTATGAAATGCAATTGCTGATTGAAGCTGTGGTTTATGTTAATATGATAATACAGGACAGGACAAGAAACCCCATACCCACTGACACACATGCACCAAAAAGAAATATTTGAAAATATATTTGGAGTCATTAATGCTTTCTGTTTTGCTGAAGTGTAATGAAAGTCTTTGTCGATGTCCTCATTATCTCCTGCAGGTGCTAATTGTCTTGTTTGTCTTGTTTGCCTTGTTTCAAGTTGCCCTTTAAAGATGTGTGTACGTACTACGGAGTCCCAAGATGGCTTCATGAATATTCTCACAACTAGATAATTATCAAGACTCGATCTGTACTGCTACAATCCTGTAGAGCTTTTGAGCTTTGCAGAAGCAGTAGTCTGTAAGCTTACTAATACGCATATTTCACCTGCTACACTGATAATGACAATGCTACATCTTGGAATGATGCTTGTGCTATGAATCCATATTCTTTTGCTCTGCTTGTAAAGAAAGTCATCTAGCAAAAGTGTTATCAGTGCAGAAATATTAAAGAGATCACACAAGACAAGCCAATAGATGGACAAGGAAGAAGAAAAAAAAAACAAGAGAGAGAGAGACAGACAGAGAAAGGAAAACCTGAAGACTGGATGTTTTGAAGCATGGAGTTTCATAGTTGAAAAAGAATATTTGTATCATATCTCAATCAAATTCAGTAATCGTCCTTCGAGGGAAAAAAAGTATTTATAGCACCCATCCTTCTTTTTCCTTCCATAAAAAGAGCAAGTGCAGGATGACAAGAAAAAGTGTGAATTATGAATAATTTATCTGAAGTTCTGATTTTATTTCCCCTTAATTATGGTATGGAAAATAATTCATGAAGAACCTTTACAAGATGAGAGATGATAGGGGGATACTTCCATCAAGTATTAGATGTGGGCAATAATATACTACATGTACTTGTTTTAATATAAATATTCATTGTTTATTTGTATATAAAAAGGAAATTATCTGATAGATTGAGGAGCTCGCGCAGTGCACTCTTCACTTTGCACAGCACTCTCTTCACCCGCTCTTTCTTCCTGTCTCCTCCTCCTTTTGTAAGGCCGGTATCATTTCAAGCTCTGCTTACGATATCGGTCTTCTGCCTTTTCTTTCTTTTCAAATACGATTAATTGTACTATTGATTATTTATATTTATTTATTTGTGAATTACTACTTGTATTACTTATCATTATATTGCTAAAATGTATTCATTGTTATTTTTGTTATTGTTTATGGAAAATGCAGAAATAAAACTTGAAACTTGAATATATCTTCCCTCAACTTGCTGAATGGGTATCCAAGACCATCCAAATCTTACAATATAGAAATCTTTCAGCCTCTTTCAACTTGCAGGAAAGTGTGATAAAAAAAATCTGTGCCCAAGGTACGGTATACACAATCTTAGTGCATACAAAAATAGTCAAACTGCTTTATAATTATGTGCAGATAAGAATGTGTCTCTTGTTGAGGGAAGTGTCAGTTTACATGGATGTTACATATTAATTGAATAGCAAAAAAGGAAAATCTCATATTTTCAATTTTATTTTACTCTTTGATTGATTTGTTTAATTTTCTTAAAGGTATTACAAAGTTTTGGGAATATTTCATCAGGATTGGATCATGAAATTTAAAATTTGCATTACTATTGTGAAACA